TACTTGACATAATTCTTTCATATAGCTGTGTCTGATATTTGGACAGAAAGCACTTCTGTTCATGTGCATGTCTGTATGGTTTAACTCATCACCAACACTCTCCCATTAGATCATCATTCACATAGATTAGTTGTGAGTCTCTCTATAAACTGAACTGCACAACTACATTCTCATCATATAGATATTTTAAAATACTTAATTGTATAAGGATTTTCTTCCTTGATCTCTTTCTTCCTTGACTAAGAATACCAAGGATGTCCCCAGTGCTCACTTGAAGGTTGATTTAGTCACACTAGCAAAACCCCAGGCTCAAACGTCAAAAAGGATCAGTTCAACTCCGTGGGCTAATCGTGCAGCAGGAGTCATTGCTGCAGATGCCTCATCACAGCAAAGGCAAATGTTTAGTCATTACACATGCTTTCTGTTAGCTCCCTAGATGGGAATTTTTTTACCTTTGTGCATTTGAGAACAAGTGAATGCAGGAATGCCAGCAATCCAAGGCTTCATTAGTGCAGAAGAAGCAACACTCACTCCGCTACACAAATAATTAGAGAGATTAAATGAAAATAAACACGGAGAGACTGAGCAGAGGCTCTGAAGTTAGGTAATTATTTTAATTACTCTAGTGGCTTCCACCAACCTTCATTATCAACCACAGATCAAATTTCAACTCTTTTATCCAAGGATAGCATGAGCATGTGCTACCTGGAAAGGCACAGTAGCCACCCAGAGATGATACTTCAGAAGCATGACATTTTCCTTAAGCTCTTATCTCTAGTAGTTTCCATTTCAGCACTTGATAAATTCTACATATTTTAAATGTGATACATTTTTACACTGGAAAGTATTCAAGTCTAGACCTTTGTTTTTCTGATGGACATTCTTAGTAACTTAGTTTTGACATTCTTAGTAACTCAGATTTGATCATGGGTGATTTGGGGTCACATTTTTTTCTGTCAGAAAATGAAAAGCAGTATGGCGTATTCTGCCATTTGAAATAAATGTCACTTGGAATCATACCATCTTTATTATATATTCTTTATTTAGGGTGATTTCACCTTTACATTTCTCTAACTTAGGAAAAGACCATACTACATACACCACCTGGAACCCCCTCCCTAAATGTGGGGCCACTAATGCCAGTCTTGCTCAGAAACATTTATTATTTTATCCTTGTGACAATTATGATTCACAGAGATCTCCAGGGTAATGCCAATTCTTCTAGAAAATATCCAACTTAGCCTTTTTTAATCCTTTCAAAATCCCATGGAGCATATTATACGTTACTACCCCATTTTCCAGATAAGGAAACTGAGCCACAGTAGAGAGGACAAGGAGTGGGGAAGGAGAACTGTGAGGAAGAGGAATGGATGAGAAAAAGCATAAGGATGTGTATGAAGAAGACATAAGGAACCCACGACTTCATATATGTATTACTGACTTTTCTGTTGCTGTGATAAAACACCATCACCAGAGTGACTTATAGAAGAGTTTGTTGAGGCTTACATTTTCAGAGGTTGGGGAGCAGAGGGGGTTTTCACGGGCAGCCAAGCATTTTCCTCTCAGAGCCTACCCCCAGGACACACCTGCTCCATCAAGGCCACACCTCCTAAGCCTTCCAGAGCAGCACCAGCCGGGGGGACCAGCTGGAGTGTTTAAATACGTGAACCTAGAAGAGGCTTCTCATTCGAAACACTGTCATCTGCTAGCCCAAGAAATAAAACCTAATTTTGAAAAGTTAAGCAGACTTTCAGAGGCTCATTGACTCAATTTATACAAATAGAAAGTGGCCTAACTTAGCCCGGGCGTTGGTGGCGCGCGCCTTTAATCTCAGCATTCGGGAGGCAGAGGCAGGCAGATCTCTGTGAGTTCGAGGCCAGCATGGTCTACAGGGCAGGTTCCAGGACAGCCTCCAAAACAAAACAGAGAAACCCTGTCTCAAAAAAAAAAAAAAAAAAAAAAGAAGAAGAAGGAAAGAAAGAAAGTGGTCTAACTGACAACCAAACCTAGGAACCAAGACGATCCCCAAGAGAGGAGATGAAACTGGACACAAGTTGAGGACTGTGCTGGATAGTTTTATGCCAACTTGACAAGCTAAAGTTATTTGAGGCTTCCTTGCCTGGTGGTGGTGGCGTTCACCTTTAAGCCCAGCACTCAGAGGCAGAGGCAGTGGATCTCTGTGAGTTTGAGGCCAGTCTAGTCTACAAAGCCACACAGAGAAACCCGTCTTGAAAAACAAACAAAAATGCCTCCGTAAGATCAGACTGCAGGCAAACCTGAAGGGCATTTTCTTAATTAGTGATGGGGGAGGGCACTGCCCGTTGTGAGTGGTGCGATCTCTGGGGTCTATAAAGCAGGCTGAGCAAATCATGATTAGCAAGGCAGTAAGCAGCACCCTTGTGTGGTCTCTGTTCCAGCCCCTGCCTCCAGGTTCCTGTCCTGGCTTCCTTCAATGATGGACTACAATGTGGAAATGGAAGCCACTTTTCCTCTCCAGCTTGCCTTTTGACCATCGTGTTTCGTCACAGCAATGGTAACTCTAAGGCGAGGACAGTGACAGTGCTTGAATGTGGTTTAGGTATTGTTTGGTATCAGCGAATTTTATATGCTAACGTCTCACGTTAAGTTCCATGTGTAACTGGTTTCCTCCTATCTTTGACTAGCCCTGTTCTGGAGAAAGCACAATTCAGTGCAGGTTTGATGGTATAGTGGTCTAACAAAGATACTCCTACTTACAAAGGTTAGTTGTGTTTTCAGTATGACTCACTAACCACCGACTTTTACTCCCAGTGTCACAAGGCATCTCTCCTCAACCAAATTTAAAATGCCCAAGAAAGTAGGGGAGGTTTCAGTAGCCACTTTGGTAAAGGAGGAGATTAGACGGATTTGTGTGTAACCTTCAAGAAAATAACGAAAGCTTGTACCAACTTCCCTCCTTTCTCTCTACACCGGCATGGACATCTCATGGCCTTGGGTAGAAAGCGGGCGGGGTGTCTAATGGAATCATCGTTCGCAAACTTGGGACTCACCATCCTGCACAGCTTTGGGTTCTGGGTGACACGGAGAAGGTGGGACCAAAGGGCAGGACTCAATCGTGCAGCAAGGACGAATTTTGAAAACTCGCTCCTGGTTTTCGACTATCTAATTGGGCCGTTCTGAATGCTCAACAGTCACGTAATGACAGACACTGGGCCCAAGTGAAGGATGGACCTATGTGAAGAGATGTGTGTGGGGCATCTACCCCGGTACTCTGCTTGCCCCACTCCACCCCCGGATGTGGTCAGAAGAATTTGGAAGGTTTAAGATTGAGAAGGTCAGATTATGGAGGAAGAGTGACTCAGAAGTGATTTCTCTGGGGCGGGAATGGGTGAGGAGCGGTGAGTCCCTGAGGCTCCCTTGGGTGTGTCTAGCAGCATGGCCCCCTCATAAGGACAGCCTGGGGTTCAGCCAATAGATCCTCAACAACCAAGCATGGCTCTGCTTGGCGTCCTCTGGCCGGCCCGATTGATGGTACCATCTTCCATCCAGAAAGACCAGTCATTTGCAGCCAGGCTGTGCTGACGGGGTGTGTGGTGAGGAAGCAGCGGGTTATAGCCAGGACACCCGCGTTCTAGTTCCATTCTGATAGTTACTACTGACCTCGGGAATCCTCCAAGTCTCCATCGTCCACTCCCTTCATGCAGAAAATGAAGGTGACTCCACTTGAAGGCCTCCTTGAAAGGAACCCAGGAATCCCAGTCGCGAGGAATAATTCCTAAGACTGCAAACACGGAGGGCTCCAACGTGAAGAAAAATAAGTTAAACGTACTCAGCTGGAGTTTTCAGAAATTCATCCCCCAGAGATTCAACTGTAGCCGACCAGCGCCGGTTCCAATTGATTCCTTGGAACCGGCTGCCACACACGCCTAGCACCTATGTGCGACACCCCTCCGGCTCCGTGGGCTTCTGATGATCTCTCCCTTTCATGAGAAAGCGGTTTTCCTTGCTGAGATTCTGTACACCAACCCCACAAGCTAGGAGCCAGGGAAGGGACCGGGTTTTTTGCCCTGTCTGCCTCTCTCCTCGGTCTCCCCTGGTTAGGTCTCTGGAGTTGTCCGCACGTGAATGGGTTTCTTTGGCTGATCTCCAAAGACCCTGCAGCATTTCAAAGAGCTGAGCCCTCTTGGCGATCTGAGAACAGCATCCCCCACAGGCAGAGGTCGCTCGGCCCCCCAGGGACCATCCTCCCTCCCGCTGCCTCTGGCCGCCAGGAGCACCGAGCTCAGACCCCGCAGAGAGCCAGGGCCCTTCCCGCCTCCGCCCCGCAGCCCCTCTCCGCCAGTAGCAGCGCTGCTATCTTCCCACAGGAGCACTGGGAGGACGCCGGAGTCTGCAGCGCCCCCGCCCCCTCGCTTTTTCTTTCTTTCCCTGCTTTGGGATCTTGCTGTCTGGAGCCGGGAGAGGTTCCGAGAACGAGAGAGCGAGGGGCGCGAGCGCAGGTTTCTGCCGCGGCGCGCGAACGGAGCTGGCGGCGCAGCATCCACCCGGGATCGCAGCTGCACCGGCCGACGTGTGACGGAGGAAAGCGCCCAGCATCATCTGCCGCCGCCTTCTAAAGGGTCCCAGAGCGCTCGCCGAGGCCGGCAGCCGGAACCTCTTTGGCAGCAGGCGTGCGGGACAGGAGCGGCGGCGAGGCACGCGGGCTCCCGGGTTCCAGGATCGCACTCTGGAAAGAGCGCAGCGGGGACCACCGCCTCGCTCGCACTCGGCACAACTCCCGGGGCCGGTAGAGCGCGGCTGGACCGCGTCCAGATTCCCGCCGACTTCAACCAGAGTGACCCGCCGCTCCCGCCCGACCCTCTGCACTGCCTGGAGTTCCAGATCGCCCAGAATCTGCGCTGACCCGCAAGCCCAGATCCCCGCAACGCCGCGGGCCAGATGGAGAGGGCGCCTGCAGCTGCTCCCTGACAGCTGACGCCGCCGCCGCCGTCCGAGCTGCACACCGAGGTGTCCCCCCCACCCACCCACCCACCCCGAGGTTAGTCCTTGCCGGAAAGGGTGCCCGAGACGCTGGGGAGCGCGCACCATGAAGTCGGCACTGTGCAGCCGCTTCTTCATCCTCCTGCCCTGGATCCTGATCGTCATCATCATGCTGGACGTGGATCCCCGCAGGCCCGCGCCCCAACTCACTTCGCGCCCCTACTTCTCGCCCCACACAGTGGGCTGCGGGGGCTCCCGAATCCCGCTCCGACGGGGCAGCCTAGGGCGCGACGCTGCCGAGAGGCAGAAGCGCAACGAGTCTCGGCCTCCGCTGCAGGCGGAGCCGCGGTTGCCCACCATCTATGCCATCACGCCCACCTACAGCCGCCCGGTGCAGAAAGCCGAGCTGACCCGCCTGGCCAACACGTTCCGCCAGGTGGCGCAGCTGCACTGGATCCTGGTGGAGGATCGAGCCACACGCAGCGAGCTGGTGAGCAGCTTCCTCGCGCGGGCCGGGCTGCCCAACACGCACCTGCACGTGCCCACGCCGCGGCGCTACAAGCGACCGTGGCTGCCACGCGCCACCGAACAGCGCAACGCCGGCCTCGCCTGGCTGCGCCAGAGGCACCAGCACCAGAGCGCGCAGCCCGGCGTGCTCTTCTTCGCCGACGACGACAACACCTACAGTCTGGAGCTCTTCCAGGAGGTAGTGGCCCGCTCCCGCTAAGGGACAGGGGCGGTGGGACTCCGGGGGCCATAACCTCCCGCTGTACCTTGTACGCACTTTTGAGTTCCCTCTCAGTCCTCCGCGCACACATCCCGGACTCAGCGTGCAGTCGCTACGGATGGGCAGTCCCCAGCCTCCTCCTCTGGTTGTCTTGGGTGGAGAAAGGGTGTTGAGGGGACTTTGTGGGGTCCAGGATGGGAAGAGTCTACTTTGGGATTTCTTGCCCTGTTCGAGATTGGGCTCAGTAAATAGTACAGGTGATTTGCCCAACTGGATGGAGCCCAAACCTGGAGCTGAGCTTGATTTACTAGGAGGCTTTATCAGTGCTTACAGGTGATTCTGAATGGAGAGGCATGTAGAAGGGATACTAACAACTCAGCTTAGGGACCAATCTCTTCTGGTACAGCCAGCCCCCTGGTGCTAAATTAGTCCTTGGTGCAAATGCTGACATATATTGGGGGGCACTCCTTCCATCTTTTCCTAACGCTTTGGCAAGTGAGTTGGAATTGTTCTGCCCATCCTTAAGGCTTTCGCTGCCCCAGGCATCATCCAGATAGCCTGCCTCACCCCTTTTCTAGACCGTTCTCCGAGACCTCTCTGACTTGGAGTTTGTTAGGCCACTCTTGCTTGGAGAGAAGGCTGCCTTGTGTTCTCTGAGATCGATCCAGAGCGCCACCCACCCCCTGCTGCTGAAGTTGCCAGTGTTCCCTGGAAGGCCACCTGCATATGCACAGCAACAGCAGAAGCAGAGGCAGAGCCCGTGGTCTTTCTCAGAGCTATGATAAGGAGATTGGGTTAGTGGTTTTATCTGTGGTTTTCCCCAGTACTTAGTTACAGCTGAATGAAATCATGATTTCTTTGCGCCGTGGGACTTTAATTCTCCACCTGAAATTCCTTTGCATCCATCCTCCTATAGACTCCCCGAGTTCCTCCATTCCCCTAGGAAATTGGACGTTCAGGAAATACTGTCTGCGCAGGACACTGAGTTCATAACACAACCTGTGTGTCCAGCAGTCGAATACCCTAAGTGCCCCCTTCCCCCGCCTCCATGCTGTCCCCCAATGTCAGGCTGCTTTCTTGGTCTCGCGACCCTTCCTGTTTCATTTTTTGTCTGTGCGGTTTTCAAGAGTCTGTTTTTTGAAAGTTAGTTGCCACCTTCATTTCGACCCTCTCCTTGAATATAAGAAGAATGGTTATTCTCCATTCTCTCATTCCATGGGGCTTGCTTTGCATGTTTCCCCAGAGAAATAAGCTTGGTTCAGTGTATAGCGTGGCTTTTATTATACCTATGGTTAGAGTTACCAAATGATCGTTTTAAAGTTGGGCTTTTATTTTAAAGTGGAGTTGTTTCCTCTAAAAGGAGGGCTTGTGTTTTGGAGCAAAGGCCTTTGACTCTGAACGCTTGTCTATTTTTAGGCCAAGTCGTCTTCATTGCCCAACTCTGAAGTTGCTTTACCTATGATGTGTGGTCTCGTTTAAGAAAAAATAGTGCACATTGCTGCTAATTGACATTTGAGGGGGGCTAAACTGTAAGGGGGACGACTGCCTTTATCCCAGGGTTCAGCCTCTTGGCACGAGGTGCCAGAGGGGTAGAAAAGTTGGCACACATGGGCGGGGAAACAATCACATGCAGTCTTCCTTTGAGACTTCCCCCGCTGAAAAGAGGCTTTGTGTGGAGGATATTAAAGAGCAGGAGAAGAATCGGTGGATTTTTCCCCCATCGGTCTGTGGAGGGGGATTGGGCAATGATAAGAGGAAGAGGACCAAGTAGTAAGAAAAAAAAGTATTGGCAAAGAAAAATGTCATTATTTTAAAAATCAAGTGAAGCTTTGAAGACAGTAGCATTTCATACAATTAGAGATGGTGTAATCCTCAGAATAAATATTTTCAGACCGTGTATAGCTTGTTATGGGTAGATGTATGGCAGGTGTATTTTTTTTTCAGTGTAAGATGCAGGACGCACTGTATCTCCTGAACCTCTCTCGGACAGCAGTTTATGGCCTCTTTCCCCAGCACAGCCCCAGTTCCTGCCTCCCGGTGTGTGTGTGTGTGTGTGTGTGTGTGTGTGTGTGTGTGTGTGTGTGTGTTTTCTTTGTTATTAATGTGGGTTACATATTTCATTTTCCTATTACAATCCTTTTCCCTTTCATGAAACTCAACTTGATTAGTGAGGTTTATGCATCCTTTGTATATTTTCTAGAATTTGATGTTTATTTTCCTTTAAGCTCTTGGTTTGTTTGGTGGGGTGACTCACTCTGCATCCCTTCTGGAATTAATGATTCTATGTGGACTACAGTCTAGACACTGTTCCCTTGGAGAAAACAGCAAAGCCTATAAACTACTCAACACTGTAGCTTCTCAGGGGAAGAGGAAGGGAGGCTTCAGAACTCGGGTCTGTATCTCAGCACATGCAAATTCATTTTTTAAGTAATTCACAGCATGCAAGGAAAGAATGTCCCAAGTCAGGCTTCATCTTTTTTTTTTCATAGAGCTTCTAATCTCCATGGTTGGTGCTAAAAAAAAAAAAGATAAGATTAAAGGAGGGAAATTAACCAGGTACAAATTAGCTCACTAAGTATTGGCAGCAAATGAAGGAAAGTAAAGGATGAAAGGCCTCCAAATTAAATTAAAGACGCAACAGGCAATCTGCATTCAATTATTCCTCCCTGGTAACTGGAATACCATAAGTTTGGTTGTGGATTTTTTTTAACTCCTGTATGGCTAATTGTCAGCTTTCTGTTTCAACCGAGCCATGATGCCAGGGAAGGAATATTTGCACTGAACCATCTTGTGTGAACAGCCAAATGCATCTGCAAATGAAATTGCAAATGTGTGAGCCATAGCCTCAGAAGCTGCCTAACCAAGGAGGACGCAGTGGGGTCTTGTGCTGGTTTCAAACACCTCAACTACTAGTTCCCCCTGGGGACATCAGTGGGGTTTGTTTTGCACGATGGGTCACTGGTGATCCTGCCTGCCTGTCCACATTGATCAAGCTCTCTGGAAAAGCTTATTTGCAAAGGATTTAGGCTGCTTTAATGAAAGCCACAAGCACAGATAAATGGAACTGTATATCTGGTCATATTTTCCAATAGCACTATCGATCAGGTGTCTGTTCTTCAAGGCTTTCCCAAGCTTAAAGTGATGCTTTTCGGCTGACAGTGGTTTCACCTTTGGAGATGCACTGAATTGAAAGGTTAAAAAAAATAGCACTTTCCAAGCAACAAAACAAAAACTTAAATTAACTTTAATGAGACGAGGCGGGAAGACAAAACCAAGTAAGAGATTCCAGCATCAGGCACGTGAGTTAATGAGACTGTGTGGGAGGGGTTTTTGGGAAGCAGGTACTAAAGGGTGAAGAAGCCCCTGGTTGGGATTTCTTTCTGGATGCTCTTAACCTATTTGTGTGCTGGGCAGACAAAGCAACGGCATTTCATTCCATGGTCTTGCTGCTTTTGTAAAGCAGTCCCATGTTCTCCCTTCTGCAGGCTGCTCGCTGGAACCATAACCCAAAAGACATTTGGGTTTACCATGCTTGGCAGCCCCTCCCAATAGGCACTAAGCGCATCCTGAGAGGAGGCCTGATTTTCTCTTTCTTTCACCCTGACCTAGTTGCCTAGCTTAGGGGAACTCTTTGTAAAAAGCTAACAGCTTCTCATAGGTATAGCCTAGAAAGTCTGCCCAGAGCATACCCCTTGAATGTTATGTCTTCCTCTCTTCGAGTATGGTAATAGGCCATAGGACTGATAAAACGCAATTTTATTCTTTATTTTTTTTTTTAGTGACTGCAAAACTGCAGCCACTTTTTTCGATGTTCTATCTATAGTTTTTCTTTATGCTCTCTGGATGTATATTACTTGAATTATGGTTCTGCTTTGGTAGTTTTCCTCAGAGACCCGTGGCCTCTATTTGGATTTGGAGGTTTTAATGGGCCAGAAATAACAATTTGGTTTTAAAAGGCATTACCGACCTGCCTCTTCCCATTGTGTTTTTCTTTCTTTCTTCTCCTCTCAGCCCACTTTTCACTGATGGGTCTCTCATGAATAGGCATGAAGACATGCCCAGAGTATCATTTGGTGTGACGGATGTGTATCTTTGAAACATTTAGGTTGTTGTTTGCAGCTTCTTGGAAACCAGAGGAGGTGGCTACATTTTCCCCTGTCTGTTCCACTTGCCTCTAAATTACAAGCTGGTAAATTCTCTCTTGTGTGCACAGTAATAGAATAGTAATTGCGTTTAAGACATGCTGAAAAAGCCAATAGAACAAAAGTTGACGGTCTCATTTAAGCACCGCAGGTAGTGCTCAAGGTGTGTGAGTGCGTGTGTCACAGCATTCAGTACTGCCAAGCCATAGCTATTGGAACCTTTCAGAGTCTAGGATATTTTGCAGGCTGATAAGGAAGCACATTATTGTATGTTTGATTCACGGGGCTATCGAAGCATGAAATTTAGGTTTTGTATGGTTCTCAGATTCTCTCCTAAAACATAAGTAAGAATGTTACAGCGGCCCATAGAATGCTTTTCCAATTTGCAGAAGCAAAACCGTTATTGTTTTTTCAGTCACGCTTGCTGTTTTTTATACAGTTTTAAATAAATGTCAAAAATATTCTCTAGACCACCGTGGAAAGCCACAACCAACAAAATGCAGAGTTGTGGAGCCCAGTCTCAATCGACGCATCTGCGCTACAACTCCTGCACCGAAGGCTGGGGGAACATGGCAGAAGAGGAAGGCAGAAAGATTGTAACCAGCTGTGAGACTGTGTCTCCTAGAAGCCACACCCATGATCAGGGGACAGCGAGAGCCCTTTCTGTCCTTCCACCAGAGCTCAAAGTCAGATTACCAGCTTTGGCCGGAAGCAAGTTTTTTCACTATGCCATAGTTACATTGACCCAATGCTTGGAGTTTTACTTACAGTAACTCAGGCTCACCGTGCCTGCTCAGATAGCTATTGGCACCTCCTCCACCCCTCGATTTAAATAGG